GGCACTCTGCCCAGGGGGACAGCTTGAGGCTCTGTCTCAAAAAAAAAAAAAAAAAAGAAATCTGGCCATCATTGTGGTCATTGCTCTTAACCAGGGATCAACTCCTATTATACATGCCCTAAGGCAGCCCACACAATCTTACCCTTGCTACTGGACAGCTGAAGGACGGCCTCTTGTCTCCTCCCTACTCCGGTCCATGCTTTCTGAACACAGATCTGTCACTGTCATGCTTAATTTAGGACCACTGGCTCAAGGCTGTCTTCAGAGTGCAGTGCAGCACACTCATTACACCGCCACTCGAGGAACATCCCCAAATAAGTTATATGCATTACTTGACTTCCAACCACAGATAAACACAAACTTTTCACAACTCCTACCTTCTCACAGCTGGTCCTCTCTCCCACAAATGCTCCTAACCCACCGAATGCTACCCAGACTCCAAGCCCCCCCATCTGATGAAATCTGGGTGTGCCTTCAAAAAAGGTTAAGGGATGCCCACAGAACTTTAATGCCATAGCACTTGCCAGTCAGCATCAGCTTCCTCCTCCACACAACCCCCTTCAGGCACATTCCTCAAGATCTCAAGAGACAACGATGACCCATTCTATTCAGACATTATGAATTCTAAGCACTCCCAAAAGTATTGTTCAAATTCAAAGGAATACTCAAAATATTTAATCAATCATTCTGCAACAATACATTAAAAAGGGTAGTTACAATAGGCCAAATGTTGGTAGAAATTTTATAAATTGGATTTGGTGGAAATCAGCAACAACAGGTGAAAGTTAAATTCTAAAGTCTATGTCTGCAGAAATTCTCATCAAAAGCTCAACTGTGGAACAACAGGAATTTGCTAACCAGCTGTACTTGAGACACACCTTTCTTTCTTTGGGGGGGGAAACTGGACAGATACAGGTGTGACAGCTCCTGCCCCACATTTGCTTTGCCATCTTTCAAGGTTCCAGCTGGGAGAGATTTCTAGGGAAACCTGGCCTGGGGTTCGCTTGAGGGCACTTCTGGGGTTCCTCCCGAGGCTGGCACAGCTTCTGCACCCTCCTCCACCCACCTGCCCCGCTTCGCTCCCCTCTCCTTCCCTGCGGCGCCCCTACTCACCGCAGTCCCCCTTTCCATGTGCCCTTCTTCGCCCTATCCCTCCTCCGTCTGCCCTCCCACCCCGTTCTCTCCGCTCCCGACCCCCTCCCTCTCACCTACGGCCCCCCTCGGTACTCCCTGTCCTTCCTACCCGCCTTTCTTCCAAGTTCTCCGGTCTCCCTCAACCGCCCCCTTTCTCTTTCTAGTCCCCGACTCTGTCCCTCTTCTTTCCTTCCCCTCCCCGGGCGGCCCCGCTCCCACGTGACCAGCGGGGCGGG